TCTTCACTAGTAGATACTACATTCCTGGTTACACCTCCAGTAGTATACTCAATCACATATCCATTAGTCTCTGATGAATTGGTCCAGTTCACTTTGATACTAGTAGCATTTAATATAAACCCTCTCACATTATTTGGGGTACCACTAGGAGCTAGAAAAGAAACAAAGTATCTACTATTGATTAAAGTATAATCAAACCATGTAATATCACAGATTGACTGTAGTTGACTCCTCCAATCATTGCTATACAGGTAGCATTAACTGACACTCCTAGTGGATCAGGATATACCAGTAGTGTGTTGTTGTATGTGAAGACATCAATTGATGAATAGTTTGAGTTACTCTTCATCACTCCATTGACTAACCAGTAAACATCAGTTGAAGGATTTATATCAGTAGTTGTGAGACAATCAATACAATATTGAGTGTTATTGAGTTGTGTAATGGATGAGACTAGTGTCCAATTGATTGAATTAATAACTAGAAATACATCAACAATGTTACAAGTACATTAAAAGGTGCAGTAGCAATACCTGGTAAGGTCTGTACACTGATTGCACTAGCAGGTCCCAGTAATTGTTGATAGGCTCTGACTGTGATGCTATAAGTTGTTCCTCCTCCCAGTCCATTCAGTGTGATTGTATTATTACTACTTCCCTCCACCTGTACTGTCTGCACAGTGCCTGTGTCACTAGTGACATTGACTACATATCCATCAGCATCAGATGAATCAAGTGCAGTCCAACTGACAGTGATAGTGGTAGCTGTCTTGCTGACCTCAGTAAGAGAAGAGGGAGCAGTTTCTGGTACTGATATTATTAGTAATAAGAATTACTGGTATTCATTGACATTACCTTTTACAATTACATTACGTATTCTAACTGTATTACCATCAGGATGATCTGCTACCCTGCACTGATACATTTGATCTCCAGTGGTTGATTGACTGATTGATCCACTACTGACATTCATTCCATTCCATGTGATAGTAACAGTATATCTTATTGTGTTGGTACTACTAACTAACACAGTACCAGGATAATTACTATATCGATCATCACAATTAGTGTAATTGGCCAGTGCAGTACTACCAATGCTCATACTAATACCATACTGATAATATCCAATTTTAGTACAATTCAGTTTGTATTCCTGAGGATATACTGTTATATCAGAAGGAAGATCAGCAACAGTAAATGATTCTATCTCTGAAAATCCTACAAATGAAATTATTACATCAGTAAGTGATTATAGTCTCCTCTTACTGAATATATTAGCAAAGATGATGTTAGTGTTAGGATCTGAACAATCAGTGGGTAGACAACACTTGTACCAGCCTTCTTGAGCTGCTGGTAGTCCCTGAGCAAGATAAAGACTTAGATTAGCAGGTGAAGTGACATTAGTACAACGAAAAGGATCATTGTCAGTATTACTGTCACAGTCAACAGGATCATCAGGATCAGCAACTCTAACCCACTGACCAGTAGTTAGACTAGTACCAGGTAACACACATAATATAGCTTCATTAGCTGCATTGACAATAAGGTCCCAAAAATATGATCCATTAGGATAACAGTTTCCATCATGTGCTAAATAGATATCTAATGTACATGATCAATACTTATATAATAATATTAATTTATATAAAATCAATATACCATCTTGTTGACAATGAGTGAAGACACTGATTGTACTAGCAGGTCCCAGTAATTGTTGATAGGCTCTGACTGTGATGCTATAAGCTGTTCCTCCTCTCAGTCCATTCAGTGTGATTGTATTATTACTACTTCCCTCCACCTGTACTGTCTGCACAGTGTCTGTGTCACTAGTGACATTGACTACATATCCATCAGCATCAGATGAATCAAGTGCAGTCCAATTGACAGTGATAGTGGTAGTTGTCTTGCTGACCACAGTAAGAGAAGAGGGAGCAGTTGCTGGTACTAAAAATTATTTTACTATTTTAAAATCAACTATAATTAATTTGATACCTTTTATAGTCATATTACGTGTTCTAGTAGGTTGATCAGGGATTTGCACTACACACTGATACATTTGATCTCCAGTGGTTGATTGACTGATTGATCCACTACTGACAGTCATTCCATCCCATGTGATATTAACAGTATATCTTATTGTGTTGGTACTACTAACTAGCACAGTACCAGGACAAGGACTATTATTATTATTATCTTCACAATTAGTGTAATTGGCCAGTGCAGTATTACTAATGCTCATACTAATACCATAGCGATTGAATCCAATTTTAATACAATTCAGTTTGTATTCCTGAGGATATACTGTCATATCAGAAGGAAGATCAGCAACAGTAAATGATTCTATCTCTGCAAATCCTACAAATGAAAATAATTATTACATCAGTAAGTGATTATAGTCTCCTCTTACTGAATATATTAGCAAAGATGATGTTAGTACCAGGAGTTGAACAATCAGTGGGAAGACAACACTTGTACCAGCCTTCTAGAGCTGCTGATAGTCCTTGAGCAAGATAAAGACTGACATTAGCAACAGGTGAAGTGACACTAGTACAACGAAAAGGATCACTGGCATTATTACTGTTACAGTCAACAGGATCATCATCAGGATCAGCAACTCTAACCCACTGACCAGTAGTTAGACTAGTACCAGGTAACACACATGATATAGCTTTATTAGGTACATAGTTGACACTACTATCCCAAAAATATGATCCATTAGGATAACAGTTTCCATCATGCATCAGGTAGATACCTATAAAAACCTATACAGTTGTTATTATACACATCCAGTGTCTTACCTGAGGAAGGTGGACATTGACTAGTAACTTCACTGACACTCAACAAGAAGACTATAACCACTCCTGATACTGACAATGCCATTTTAACAATAGACTGAATAGAATTAGTACTGTTATGGTTCTGTTATTTTTTGACAAATTAAATCTATGCATGCCAGTTTTCTTTTACAGTAAGCAAAGTGCATAAGATGTATACGTGTCACAATTAAAACTTGTTTACTTTCCTTTACAATAAGCTACATGTATGACAATTCAAAACAATAACATGTTTATTGTGACAAATGCATTTCACTTAACCCATCAGTGCACATCTAAGTATTGATTCTCAGTGAATACATGCACTATGTTTTCAGTTCACATCAGAATTAGGACCCATCAAATTTCCTGATTATAAGCTTGTCAATTTGAAAAAGAAGTGAAAATAACTATTAAAGTTAGACCATTGATATTCTCATCCTTCTATTATTGTATCCATTTTCTATACATTATTATTCCTTAATAGATTATACTTAACTACACAAACAGGGAGAGATAGACAAGCAGACACCAGTCATAATCAGGAATAGTGGATGAATCATTACATTGAGAAATCCTCTTGAAGACTCTGAAACAAAATCATTCCAGTTTGATTATACTTATAGACTCAGCAAAGTCCAATACGATATAAAGGTGCATTAATGAACATCTGAAATAAGAACACTTTCTGTTATTGGGTCTCAAGGTGTCTGGAATTGGTGGAATAGACAGGATTGACTGTACATAATTATTGGTAGCAACTTTAAAAATTGTAAAAATCCAAATGTGATTGGAATGATCAGCCCCAAAATTGAAATACACTATTAGAACATGTATATGTATCAGGGAAAATTATAAAAAAGAATAATCCTCTCTTTTCATTTTTGGCAAAATTTTGCCAAAGACTCTGTACAGTACGCCAAATCTATTAACAATTTTAACAAGCGTAACAGTGTAAAAAATATTCCTGTAATTGATTTCACCACCTTGCAAGTACAACTTGGTCATTATTAAGACTTATAGAGGTTCTCTCTACCTTCAAATGCTTCTAGAGAAGTTTTTAAACAGTATCTTTATGTTCTATTGCTGTTAGAAAGCTCTTAACTTTGTCCTATGTGTAAGCCGCCATTTTGTTTGCCGTGACCACACCCACTACATAAAGGAGCGTAGGCGGGTGGTTAGAACAGGGAAATAATATACTAACGTAACTGGGATTGGCAACGGGATCACGTGAGCGCATCATTTGTGTGTAAAAACTTTTTGCAGTCTCTGTTATGATTTTCAAGATGGCGGCTGTCAATGTCTGGAGTATGAAGTTGCTCTTTTCTCTTTTAAAAATGTATTTAGCTTTATGAAAAATCTACTGCAAAGTTATAATGGCGGCTTTAAGGTTCTGATCGGTTATTGTAAGTTAATATTTGTTTTAAATTGTTTAAATCTTCAATTTGCGGCTAAAATTCCATTTGCGTACCTCTGTAGCCCAAATATTTGTTTCTGTGAGTGTATTTTTGTCATGAAATGTTGTTACTTAGTTTATTACATTGTTTAGGCAACTTCTCTTGTTTCTCCAGAGTGTTCTTTAGGAAATATTCAAGAAAAACCAGTTTGCCATGGTATGACCTTTGCGTACCTCTCAGGAGAATAGACTAAATTCTATTGCTATGAAACTACAATAAAGAGACTCTTTACATGTTTTTACATTGTTTAAAGTTGTTTTTAAATTTTCCTTGTTGCTGGTTTTTTAGTTATAACAATTTACATTCAGCCATTTTGCTAAGATGCCATTATTATTATTATTATTATTATTATTAAT